CCCCCACACACACTTTCAACACACACACGATCGCATTCTTGTATAATAACATACCAGGTCAGCTCGTAAAAATTTGCTAGACATTCTGGCGACATCAGTAAAATGAAGCTTTTTTCATGTCTGATGTAAAAACATAGACCAAGGGGCTTGTCAGTAATGTCAGTCAAACTTTTCAATAAATGAAAAACCCTTCCTTTCGTAAGCGATTATGTCGATTTGAAAAAATAATTACATGAGGACGCTTTTATCGGGGCATAGGATTTTTTTTTTTTACAGAATATTTTAATTTAATATAATGCCATGACTCGGTGTGTAATATCCAAACGAGGAACTCAAGTGTAGAGTAGACCACATTTCAGGATTTGAGAGTCCAAAGTTGTTACGTCCGTTTTTAGAACCTCAGTGTTACAAATAATTTATTTCGTTTCATGATTGACTAGTTGCAACAAACGAATATTAGCTTTGTTTTGCGATCCAAGTCTACAATTGTACAAGTAAACTCCAGCCAAACCTAATAGTGTTCCGAGAAGCTGGAACCATTCTTGCTGCTTTGTCCCCCACATTTCTTAAAGTAAGTTGTGATATTGGTTGTTACCTTCTCAGAGTTAGCATAATTTATTTATTTTTGTGTTAGTCTAATTGTAACAACCAACATAGAACTTTGCTTTACAACCGAGGTCTTCAATTTTACAAGCAAGTGTGTACTGGCTAGACTCAAGCAGAGCCTTTCTGTGACGTTAAGAGCCAAAAAAACACAACTCATTTCTTTGTCATCCAAATTTCATTACTAAGCTGTCGGGTCGGTTATTACAATCTCAGTGTTAGAATAATGTATTTAGTTCTGAGTTTGTCTAGTTGCAAAAACAAGAAAATTCTTTATTTTACGACCTGCGTGTTCAACTTTACATGCACTCTTACATTGATGTTACTCTGTGTAAGCCCAATTTACATTTTGGAAAGCAGAAAACAGCCTGATTATCTGTCAACCAACTTAATTTTTTTAGTCGTTAGGTCGGTTGTTACATTCTGCGTGTTTGAAAGGATATATTTTTGGGTGATTTTCTAGTTGTAACAACAAACAATGAACTTTGTTTTACGACCCGAGTCTGCAATTTTAGAAACAAATTTGTACTGGCTAGGCTTCAGCAAAGAGTACTTGTGTGTTAGAAGCTTGAAAAACCCAACTTCTTTGTCATCCAAATTTCTTTACTAAGTTTTTATGTCGTTTGTTACAATTTCAGTGTATTAGTATTCTAAAATATTTATTTAGTTATGTGCTCGTCTAGTTCCAACAATCAACAAATGACTTTCTTTTACGACTCGAGTTTACATAATTTTTACAAGCACCCTTGCATCGACTTGGCTCTAGCTAATTCCATTAGTAGGCCTACTTTGAAAAGTTGGAAACAACCTTTTATAAATTTCTTTGTCAACCAAATTTCTGTTGTTGTAACTTGTTATGTCGGTTGTTACAACCCCAGTGTTCGACACAATCTATTTATTATCTTACTGTTATCCTAGTTGTAACAACCGACTAAAAACTTTGTATTACGTCCCGAGTCTTTCAGCGGGGATGTTGCACCCCTTTCTGCCTGGGTTGGCCCTGACAGGAAGGGTTGGAAGCTCACTTCCTAAATGACCAACAATGTGTCGATAGGGAGGTAAAAGTACCTACATTAAAAATAAACCAAAATTCAAACAAAAAACCCCCCCCAACAACAGACGACAACTATTATTTCTTCTACAGTGGAACTCGGATTCAACGTGGTCGTTGGGCCTGACCTAAAATCTCGTTGAATCCGAGTGTTCGTTATAGCAAACACGATTTTGTGTAGATAATTACAGGCACTGAGCAAGTAATGTATAAAGAGAAGTCACAAGTAGTGCCTGAAATGCCTGCATATTATGAGCTGTGTAAAAAAAAAGACCGATTCGTTCAAATACACAAGCCTGTGTCATATCGATCGTTTACCAAGAAAAAGTTGTCTTGCTGAGTAGGGCCTAGCATACGGCAACTTTTGATTCCATAGACTAGCGCACAATTCATTACGTAGATCTACGTCAAGACTAGCTTATTATTGTAATAATGACCAGTTACCGGGGGGGGGGGGGGGGGGGAAAGACTGACACGTTTGTATATATGCGACGTTCAACGTTTCTGGGAATAGATAAAGTTTGTTCTGGGAGAAAAATTAGCGAAGCCACGTCTGCGGGGGCTGTTCACCCTGGCAGCGACCTCGTTGAATCCGAGCTCGCTGATTTAAGTGCTCGTTGAATCCGGGTTACTTTTATTGATTTTAAAGAAGGAAAAAAAACGGGGAATCTATCTCATCTCGTTGAATCCGAGCTTGTTAAATCTGAGTTCCACTGTTGTAATACATGAATTACTGAATTACTTACTACTTCTATTATTATTGCTACTACTACTACTACTACTACTACTACTACTACTACTACTACTACTGCTACTGCTACTACTACTACTACTAATACAACTACTACAACATGTACTAAGTTTACATTACAACTACTACCACCGTAACAATGATGATGACTACTATGATTATGACTAGATAACTCCTCTCACTGTTACTACTACACATTTACTACATGTACTTACTAACTACATGTACTTTTTCTATTACTAGATCTACTCAAATGTCTACTTCCACTTCCACACACACACACACAAACAAACACAGAGAGAGAGAGAGAGAGAGAGAGAGAGAGAGAGAGAGAGAGAGAGAGAGCGAGCGAGAGAGAGAGAGAGAGAGAGAGAGAGAGAGAGAGAGAGAGAGAGAGAGAGAGAGAGAGAGAGAGAGAGAGAGGGAGAGAGGGAGGGAAGGAGGGAGGGAGGGAGGGAGGGAGGGAGGGAGACTAGCTTAATATCAACATTAGTGTCTGCATAATGTGACATCAAGGACTGGGGCCTTTCTGTAAAACCAGATAAAAACAATATCTCTTATTGTCTTCTTGTACAAATTTATTGGTAAAACTCAAATTCAACCAAAAGCACTTCTCATTAACAGCAATTTTCACGATGATACTAAAATGAAAAATGATGATAATGATGAAAATGATAATAATAAAAATAATAATAATAACAATAGTTATAATGATCGTAGTAAAGTAATAATAATAATAATAATAATAATAATATTTTAAAATAATAGTAATAATGGTGACTGATAGTAATAATAATAGTAATAATAATGATTATCTTATTATTATCTTTATCATTACTATAATATAATAACAATGGATCACAAGCATACCATAATACATCATGTGGTAATTATAATAGCTTCTACAGCATCGTATTTCCACTGAATCCACTCTGTGAATGCACTTTACGGCAGAGAGATAGAATGGAAGAATATATATACTTATTCATTAACACAAACACAATGGAGTCCGCCTATACTATACCAAACACGATTAATATTATAACACACAGCATTTGTATAGCGCAAATTCCCGCTCGTTAGAAAGCTCTGCGTGGTTTATAATCTATTACTATTACTATTACAATCCCAGCAGACCTGGACAGCGTTCTGAAACAATCTCAACGTCCTGGGAAGCATTCAGTGCAAACTGCCATTTAGACTAAATTAGAGGCCTGAAAACACTCACATATTTGACAAGATCTTGTGCTGACTGTGGCCAGGTAGCCTACCCATTCCTACCTAGGTGAAGAGAGGAAAATTTGTGTAAAGTGCCTTTCACGAGGACACAACGTCGGGCCTGCGGCTCAAACCCTCGAGCCCGCAACCTTATCATCAAGAGTCGGTTATCCTAACCAGAAAACAGCAGTAAGCTGCAAGAAAATAGAACCCCCGCTTTCTTTTCTTAACTATTGCAGCAATCTTTCTAAATAAAAAACACGACTAAACTTAAAGAAAATTCGCAAGTTCTGTAGATTTCGGTTCAAGTGGACTCCACTGTATATGAATAAACACTGCCTCTCTCTGATTCTCTCTCTCTCTCTTTTGCTCTGTCCCCCTTCCGTTTCCTGCATTTGCATGAATGCATGCACATACACAAGCATACAAATATGTCCTTGCATTGATTTATTATGGATACGTGTGACATGAAAGTGATGGTTTGTCAACTTTTAAAGTTAGTTAATGAGCTTGCTCTTATGGTGTCAGACGTAACCTTGCACTTCACTCCAAACAATTGTGCCATAGTAATAAAAAGACAGTTTACTCATAGTAATAATATAACAGGCAGATGATTTTACCAAAACTGCCCTATACCGAAATAAGAGCCTTTTCATGCAAGTGATAGATTGCAAAGTTAATTTAGAATGAAAGAAATTTATGCCAAGAATAAACTTCGGTCACAACTTCCTAAAAGAGGAAAACCACTCACTGCACCCCTGAGAACCACTCTATGACTGTGTTGTATGAAGAGCATCAGTCTTCGTCGTAGTATCTCTTCTTGAGAGTCCGATACTTCCTGAGCATATACAGAGCTTCCAGTTCTTTCACAACATATTCTCCTTTGGCAACAAGGGCTTTCACTTCAGCTTCCTCTGTCACGTCCTTGTTCCTCATGAAAGCAGCATGGAGACGAGTACGAAAGTAGTCAGCTCCTCTTGGGTACTCCTTACCCAAATGAAGCAGCTGGAATGAGGAGGACACAAGGAGATAATGTGAATCCTTTGGTGAGAGTTTTACGGCACTTGAAACACAATAAGGTCATGTTTATACAAATAAGTGCTGAAGACTAGAGGTGTTTCTTTAGTTTCAGTAAGAGCTTTACGGCACTTGCAACGCAATAAGGTCACATAAGTGCCGAAGATTAGAGGTGTTACAAGAAAGTAACAAACATTTAAAAAAAGGAGGTGGAGAGATCAGGACGATAGATGTTTTGATAGGAAAGAAGAAGCAGACCACACCAGAGCACCCGCCAACCACCCATATAATAATAATTGTGAACACCATGCTATGGTTCAAGGCTCACGATGAAAAGTACAGTGAGACCTGCTCTAATGACCACCTGTCCACGACAATCACATGCACAAACGACCACTTTCCACCTCGTATATTAATATTTTAAAATAATTATTATAATGGCACTGTCCAAGACGTCCACTTATCTAAGACAACCGCTTTCCTCCTCCACAATGTGTAGCCTTCTTGAACACTTTTGACAGTATTAACCCTTCCAGCCCCATGCGTGTATATTTTCAGTAGCGCTATACCCCCCACTATCCCAAAAGCGTATGTATATTTTCAGTTTTGGGGTGTACAGAATTTGCGTATTTTTCGAAACGGCAGCGAACCTAATTAAACTTTAATTTTAATAATATTCGTTCATTTATCTTTGAACACAGTTACATTATAATCTCAACCTCATTGTAAAGATCGATACTACATCACTTTTTCCCCATGCCTCTTTCCTAAAGTACTGTTGTATTGGTTGGGACTTGGGGGGCACAAAAATGGCTGGGGATGGAAAGGTGAAAAGTGAAAAGCATCCCATCCAAAGCTGTGGCCTCAAGCTGACTCTATGACCAAGACTACATAAGGCACTTGAGGGGAGGGGGCGGTAGGTAGAATCAGTGCTGATAATGAGAAAAAGTCAAAAAGGAGGAAAATATTTCTGACCCCATTTCAATCAAGAAATTTCAAAATAGAACTTTAATACTAACTACAATAATATAAGACATACCTTTTAAAAACTTTTATAGTAATATTTTGGAAACAAAAAAAAAAAAAAAAAAGCGGAAATCCGCGGATCTGAGGAAAATTATCAGCACTGTAGAATCTTCTGCATCGACTAAAATTCCCCAAGCAATACGTCATGAAAAACACTCACAGTCTTGTACAGCAGCTTGACTTGGTATCGTAGAGCTGGTTGAGACATGATGATCAAAAATACTTCCACACAACTAGAACTTGCAACTTGTCATTACATCAGTGGGGCAAAGAACTGGCTGCAGAATATAGAAGCAGAAAAGGAAAAACTGAGTTTGCGATAAGAAGCTAGAAAAATACGTAATAGAATAAATCAAGAATAAAACATTTAAACTGAGAATGTACAAGAACAAAACATTTAAACTGAGATTGTACCTTTTCATTCATGTGAATGTTAAGGTGAGTGTCAGTGTGTTTCGACAGCATGAGAGAGCAGTGAAAGACAGTTTGAGAGTATGCCAGACAGAAAGCAACAAATTGCAGTATCTGGCAGAGACAATTTTAAGTACAACACTGTCATAGTCAATTTTACGCACAACACTGTCACCGTAGATTTCCGTGGGCGCTGCAACTGCGGCGTGATCGCAGAAAAATGGATCAATCGCGTCGCGGAACTTCACTCGCGGCGCGGCTGTGAAATTTCGATTTTTTGCACAATTTTGCAGCATTCTTAAGCTTTCAGACGTAGAATAGTGTGTGGTACGTGATTTTTTAAACTAGTTGGCATATTTGTCGAACAGATAAGCACAATACATTTAATTTGTTTTCGTCAAAAAAAAAAGTAAACAATGCTCACTTTTCTTAAACGGTAGCGACCGAAAAAAAATTCTTCTCTAAAATTGTCTCCTTTCACCTCCTTTCCTGCTCTCTAGCAATGTTCTGTCGTCTGCTTTCGTCTCCACTTTCTGCCACCATCCCTTCACCTCCTTTGCCCTCTCCTCTGGGCTCCTGACTCTTTCTGCAGCCTTGCCACTGCTACTCCTTGGCTTCTTCTTACTGCTGTCTTTCAGCCACACCCCTGATCTTCTGGTAGGAAAGATCTACACCTACAGTCAAACCTGCCACGACGACCACATGGGTATTCCAATGTAAAGGCGCATTGAGCTATTTTTTTTGGAAATGCGCTATATAAATGTTATATATTATTATTATTATTATCATATGTACGGCGGCCACCTGTACAAAGGCCACTTTTCATTTCTCCCTTGCGTTTTTTCTATTAAATTTAACTGTGTAAAACAACTGTTCAACACGGCCATGGCTACCTTATTATAATTTATATCAACCAACTGAGACTGAGAGGCTAAAACAGTACCTGGACATGGATGGCTAGTGCCTCTATAAATAAATCATTGATGGTCAAGGTCATCAACCAACTGCCAAATTTGATTTTTAGGCCACCTGACTGAGAAGGCCAGGCCTTGTAAAAAATTATGCATCCCCCTGACGCTGTAGACAAGCCGTCATAATTTTTAGGCCATTCACAACTTAAATAATATATAAGCAAATAAAAAAGTCAATCACTATAATCAGAATCAGAGAATCATCATGTCATTCAAAATCATAATACGAAGAGGGGGTGTGCCTTGGTGTTGCATTGTTTGGGATCACAGTTGTCTGAGGAAACAAGACGGGCCGTGTGTTCCATTATTTGGGTTCAAAGTTTTACGTGAACCTGGATACCAATAAACACAACAGGAAAGCAAGGAAAAAATGAAAGAAATCAAGGTCTTGAACGTAGCGAAGCATTTAGGCCCCTGAAACTAAGCACCCGGTTACCTTGTAACGTAGGGTTCCTATACTGAGACTACGTACCCGATTAGATTTCATTCAGTATTTTTTGCAGTTTAGTCTAGTCTAGATCTAGATTCTAGACTAGATCTAGATAGATTATATTTTAGATCTAGATTATATTCAAGACTCTAGATTCTAGATCTAGATTCTAGATCTCTAGTCTCTAGACTCTACCTAAAAACTAAAAGCTGGACTTCAGACACTGACATGGTGACCGAGACTGTCGCACAGACACAGTTCAGGCTTCATTAATTGCAAACGTCGAAACACGGGACATCGATGGGGCATTTTTAGACTTGAAGACAAGATTTATCACTTCGAACGTTTTATCTACCAATCCTTACCTTATTACCAACGTCCCTATCACCAATTGCTTGTCATTCTTCACACGGGCATTACTTTGTAACTTTGATCCCAGAGCAAAACAATGATTGTTTTGGTTTTCTGTGAACTGTGAAAGGTCAGATGTTACCAAAAAAAGTGTTCGGAAATATTGAAGAAACAAATAATTATAATTTCCCAATTTAGTTGTTGCTGATAAGGGGTTTTTTTCTTTTTCTTTTTTTTTTTTTACTCATGCACCCGTCTCAGTATACTCGTTTTACATACTTTTTCCCCCTAGATCTAGTAGTATTTTGCATGCTGAACACGAATAAGGCCTTCATTTTCGCGGCAAATCAATAGTTATTAAGTTATTGGTGTTTGAAAATAGTCATATTTGACTTGAATTTAACACTGCACCCCCCTGCATTTCACAATGATTTGAAGTTTTGGCAATTATGATTGATATTTCTTTGAAAACAATTGATCTGTAAGGGTTTACTGGCCATACGTGTGTTGTACAGCAAAAATTATGGCAGTTTAGCCCTCAAATCAATGGATCTGTGTGTGGGTGCATAAGTAAAAATTTACCGCTGATACATCATGTAGGCTACTGCCCAAAATGCAAAAATTAACAAGAACGCAAAACGTTCTTAAAATTCTTTTCCGGATTTAAAGTGAGCCTCTAGATCTATTGTCAAAACAAGACAAATGTGAAAACTAGACAAAACTAGACTCTATGTGTAACTGGGGAAAAACATTCAGATTTTTCGCTGGGTTGATCGAGGCCTTCCTTTCAAATTATAATATTATTATGAGCCGGGGCCAGTGCCACCTTCACCTTAATTGACTTTGAACGAGAGCGCAAACAATGAACATTAACAATTTAATCTAAAAGTAAAAAATGCGCATCGATTGCTTCTGCGACCGTTTTGTCTTACTAATCAATAAGTATATTTAGAATCATAGTTCATTTTTGGGAAGTATAAGTCTGAGTCGAGAAACTGTCACCATATAAGACACGGAGACTGCATGGTGCGTATTATTTTAGAATCCTTTGTTTTTGAAAGAAAAGTATATCGTCAACAACACAGCCTTTCATTGTAAAAATCGTTTATACATAGATCTAGACTCTATTTGCCTTTCCTTCAAAAACACATTTTTTGAAATAGGGGCCCGCATTCACAGCCAGGCACGAAAGAGACTCATAATAATTGGGTTTTTTGTTGCTTTTGTTTTGTTTTTGGAAAGTGTTTTAACTGCGCTCGCAACCGCATGAGGTCATATTATATGAGCGTACAGGACACTTTAAACATTTTCAGTGGGTAGGAAAATTTGAATTTTGCCCGGGTGGCGGCCGAAGCATACTCTCATATAGTCACCAAGGGGTCTTTAACGTGCGCAACTTGCACACGGGCCCTCCGAGATTTGTCGCCCTTGTCCGAGATGGCTATAAGGTGTCGATCTTTCCTACAAGAAGATCAGGGGTGTGGCTGAAAGAAAGCAGTAAGAAGGAGCCAAGGAGTAGCAGTAGAAAGGCTGCAGAAAAAGTCAGGAACCCAGAGGAGGGGGCAAAAGAGATGAGGGGGTGGGGGACAAAAAGAGGAGAGGAGAGCAGACGACAGAACAGTGCTAGAGAGTAGAAAAGAAAGTGAAAGGAAACAATTTTAGAACATAATTTTTTTTGGTCGCTACCCGGATTCGAACCCGGGGCCTTTGAATGAGAGGCCACCACCTTAACCTCTTTGCCACGAGAGCCCCATCTAGGCTTTTTTTTTGCACGGCTAAACCCTATCCAAACCAAAATACGTGGGGCAGCGTGGTGGAATCAGGCTCTCTTCATTTTTTTTTCGACACATAGAGTTATTGGTATTATCTTAAAGCTTGTTCACTTTGTCTTTATTTGGAAGAAAAAAATTATTCGTTTATCTTAAATACAAGTCGAGATATTTGAGAATGCAAGAGGCGGGGGTCTACTTGATTTCAAAGGTAAAACTAGTGAGAAAATGACCGCCAAAGATTAGTTATTTCCTTAGCTTAAGAGTCCGTGTTAACTAAAAATTTACATCTTTTGTGCCTCTAATCAACGTTTTTCAGTAAAAATCCACACAGAAATGAGTTCTTTAATGGCCATAAAAGGTGTTGAGCCCAAAAACAAAAATCTGATAAAAAATTCACAAACCTGCGGAAAAATGCAAGTTTCTTCACTTTGATTGTTTGGACGAGAGCCTGATTCCACCACGCTGCCTCACATTATATGATCTGAAAAGCTGGAATCATCTTTATTTTTTTGTTCTCATACTATTTTAAGTAACTTTTGTGATCGATCGTTACACTCACAGTGTTGGTTATAATCTTTATAGTTTTTTTATTTTTTTTTGGCTTAAGGAACAGCAGCCAGCACATAATTGTGTTTCACCACAGGTGCTACTCTTTTATAGGCTTTTTGCCCAGCTAACCTTTATTAAAACCTAAATCTGTCCGAAAAACTAATCATCTTTTTTTCTTTTTCTTCTATTTGTTCTGAGTAACTCGTGCAGTCGGTCGTTACATTTTAAATAATTGGTTATAATCTTTTTCTATTAGTTTTTTGTGCGTGCCTAGTTGTATCAACCAACATTGTATTGTGTTTCACCACATACAGGTGCTTGCATTTTATAGGCTTTTTTTTTTGCACGGCTAAACGAAATACCAAACCGAAATGTGTCCTCAAAAGCTGGAAACATCTTTATTTCTTCGACCGCCTACTGTAAGTTGGCTCAAAGTACTGGTCAACATAATCGATTAGTTTTTGTGCGCGCCTATAGTAGTAGCAACCAACACATCACGTACTGCGTTTAACCATAGGTGCAATCATTTTATATACTTCTTAGTCCTGCTTACCTCTATCCAAATCTAACTGTGTTCTGTGTAGCTGTTTAAATCTTTATTTCTTTGGTTTCTACTGATTTGAGTAACTTGTCAACCGGTCGTTATACTCTAAGAATTGGTTATAATCTATTAGTTTTTGTGTGTGAGAAATAGTAACAATCAACACATTTTTTAATGTTTTACCACAGGTACAGCAGTTTATAGATATTTTAAAACTGCTACACTCTATCCAAACCTAGATATTTTCTGAAAAACTGGAAGTATAATATATATTTCTTCGTCCCTCTACTATTTTGAGTAACTTGTGCAGTCGGTCGTTACACTCTAAGTGTTGGCTATAATCAATATCTTTTTGTATAAGCCTGGTTGCAACAACCAATGCAATATTAAGTTTTACCATCATAGCTGTTAACATTCTATAGGCTTTTTTGCCGGCTAAACTCTATCCAAAACCTAAAAGTGTTCTAAAAAGCTGGACGCATCTTTATTTCTTTTATTTGTCCACGTACTGTTTTGATTAACCTGTACGGTCGGTCGTTACACTTTCAGTATTGGTTATAGTGTATTGGTTTTTGTGCTTATTAAGTTGTAACACCGAACACTTTATTCTGTTTTACCACAGGTCCTAGCATTTTATAGGCTTATTTGCACAGCTAAACTTTACCCAAACCTAAATTTTGTTTTAAAGAGATGGAAGCGTCTAGTATTTCTTTTTGTCCTCCTACTGTTTTGAGTAACCCGTGCGGTCGGTCATAACCATAGCTTATATATTAGTTTTGTGCATGGCAAATTAGTTTAAGTAGAGGTTTTAAGGTGCTCGCAACTGGATAAGGTCATATGAGCGCCAAGGGGTGGGTGTCAACAGAGAAGCCCTTACAGGGAATCAAACTTACTCTGCTCACCTCTCTAGCTTCAACAGCACAAAGTCTGCTTCGACTATGAAGGCACCCCGGAAATAGTGGGTCACAAGAGTGTGACAAACATACACAGGAAATAGATGAAAAATAACAATAGTACGGATTAGGAAAGAAAAAGCAGCAGTTCCCTGTTGTAGATCAGGCACAGTTATGAGCGTGACATTGATGAATTACAATTCTACTGTGCAGGAACGAGAAATGTGCTAGCATTTTATCCACACTAAAAATTTAGATATTTAGATGTGTGTAGAAAAGCTAGAAGCCTCTTTTTTTTGTCCTGCTACTGTTTTGAATAATTTGTGCGGTATGTCGTTGCACTTTTAATTTTGACTATAGCCTATTAGTTTTTTGCCTGCCTTGTTGTAAGAACCAAAGCATTATTGTGTTTTACCACAGGTGCTAGTATTTTGTAGGCTTCTTGGCCCAGCTAAATTCTATCCAAACCTAAATCTGTTTTGAAAAGCTGGAAACTTGTGCGGTTGGTCGTTAAACTTTTAGTACTGGTTATACCTATCCAAACATAATGTGTTTTTAAAAGCTGAAAACACCTTCATTATTTTTGTTCACCTACTGTTTTGAGTAACTTGTGAGGTCGGTTGTTACACTCTCAGTACTCATTACTATTACTATAAATCATTAGTTTTTCTGTATGCCTAGTTATAACAACTAACACATTAATGACTTTTATCACTGATGCTACCATTTTATAAGCTTCTTTGCCTGGCTAAAACGTATCGAAACCCAATAAAATTGTGTTTTAAAAAGGAAAAATGTTTATTTTTGTTGTTGTCCTCCAGCTATTTTTAGGAACTTGGGCGGTCTGTTGTTACACGTTCAGTCCTTTACACTTCATAATATATTTGTTTTTGAGCATGCTCAGTTGTAACAACCAACACTTTATTGCGTTTGATCTCAGGTGCTAGTATGTATTTATAGGCTTCTTTCCACGGATCAACTCTATTCAAACCTAGATATCATCGGACGGATGAAAGTTTTTGGTATTGCTGTTTCTTGATTAGTGGTATCGATTGCATGTGCTCAAAAGATATTTAATCAAAATACAACTACTAAATGAAGATTTAAAAAAAAATGCCAAGCTCGCAGGCCGTCAAATAACAGTCTGATGCTCCAAGATCATAAGCTATGCTCTGCTGGGCAGAATTAAATTAATGAACTTTGTGACCACCCGCATGGCCTTGCGGTCCAATGCCAGAAGTCTGCGTCCGGGAGATATTTATGGTATTGTTTCTTTCTTAGATGAACCGAAAATATGTACACATTTATGCCCGCTGATATAGACAAAGGGGTAATTAATAATCATAATATTATATTGCACGGTTAAGACTACTG